TACCTACCAACCACCTAACTTAACTTACTTACTTAAACTTAAGTTAAGTTAATTAGTTACTACTACGTACACACTATATTAGTTAGTACTACTAACTAAACTAAAACTAAACTAACACTATAACTAACTACTCTCTCTCTCTCTCTCTCTCTCTCTCTCTCTCTCTCTCTCTCATAATCCACTATTATAAGGCTGGCAATGGGCTACCTGGCCTGGCCATTGCCAGAAATTGTTGATGAAGTTCAGAGGGAGAAAGCAAACGACCAAAAAGAAAAAGATAAAAGATTGGGAGATTATAGGAATGGGCCCGAGGTTAGGATGGTCAAGGGAGCAAAACCACAACATGACATCACAGGTTTCATTCCTACCTACTGCCCCCATTAACATGAAAAAAAGAAGAAGGGGAGTTTATGCTCTTTCTAAGACCCCACAAGTGAATCCACCTCAAAAGGTCTTTTCATAATATGAAAAAAAATATATCCTTCTGCTTTGTTTTTTCTTATCTAACACAATCACATTTATAAAATGAACTATAACATCCTAACTTGCCCCATAAGAAACTATAATCACTACTAAATCATAGCCCTTCATCTTCTCAAAATTAATCTCAAAATCAAACTTCAAACCCTATCCTTCAATTATCTAAAAAACTCAAAACTAAATAAATACCATAAGATACCTAAAAAATTGGAAGAACACGTAACCCTAATGTTAATCACAAAAAAAAAACAAAAATTTAAAAAACTAGTTATGCCATTCTTTGGGGTTGGGAGAAGTTAAACCCCGAGCTTGTAAAACTCAAAAGTTGAATCAAAGTCCATCTCCTTCATTGCCTCGTAGGTGTACACTTATGATACTCATCTTCTTCATCAATTTCATCAGTTTTTCTTTATCCAAGTGTATTTCCTCTTTGTGAATTCATAAGTTCGGTGTCATGTTTCATTATGCTGATAACAAGTGAACTTGGAGGTGGCCACTTGATCTCATTTCTTCTTTGCTTCTTCCAGGTAAAGAATGCTTCATTGTAAGTTGATCTATACTCGCAGAGCAATTAGTCTATGGCAGTATAGGAAAACCTCATCCCTAATGGCAGGTTGAAGCACATCAACATAATGGAAAATCTCATCTCTAATGGCGGGTTGGGGCCCATCAACATAATGTACCACCCTTTGTCCTCTGATAACGCAGAGGTTGTTTTGAGCTGTAAGTCTATAAAATTCCCTTGCATAATCATCTACCCTCTTCTCTTTTTGTCCAAGATTTTGGAGGTCTAGATGAAAATTGCTCATGATCCAAAAGAGGAATTTTTTTTTCGACTTATTTTCATCGTATTCATCATTATCGTCAAAGCCTTTTCCCAACTAATTGGAGTCGGCTACCTCCAAGTTACTTTTCATCTTATTTTAATAAAAAATTGACATTTTTTATTTGTAAGTTGAGATTTTTAAACGTGTTTCCACTAGGAGTTGGCATACTCCATAGAGCTTGGTTGCAACAAGTTGTACACTCATCTGGCTATTCATTTCATTCAAAAGAAATTTCTGTCAAGCCCAACTATTGAATAAAACACTCAATGTGGATCTTACCATTATGACTCACAAAGATCATCCATTATACCTAGATACTCTAGGATGTTCCACAGATCATTGTTCTTGCCTCAATATTTGGCTGTTACATACAACAGCCCCTAGGGTCAATCGTGGAGCTCAATTGATCCCTAGGTTGAGATTCAGTGCAAGATAAACTGGATTATGAGCATCTTGTATGTAGAGACCAGCATTTTCTAATCATCGCAAGTACCCTCAATTTAAATATTTAAAAATGAGATACAGTTGGCCTGATAGAGAGGGAGGTTGGTTTTATGTAGGGAGAGAATGAGAGCTAGGATTTTGAGTTACAAGGGGGAGAGAGACAGAGAGAGTCCTAGGTTCATGGGTTTGGGGAGGGTGAGAGAGAGGGAGCTTTGGGGGGGAGAGAAAAATAGTTCAGGTTTGTGTAGAGAAACTAATAGGATTGGCTTATTGAGTGAGAGAGAGACTAGTAGGATTGATTGTGTAGTTAGAGAGAGAGAGAAAGAGAGAGACTAGCAAGGTTGATTTCATTTAATGATAAAAAGAAATTTAGCTTTGTGGGTTAATGAAGAGAGAGATACATATTTAAGGGAAAGAGAGAGAAAGGGTTGTAATTGTGGATTCTATGTGCGTGAGATAGAGAGAGAGATTTTAATACATATACATGAGAGAGAAAGATTTTAATACATATACATAAAACTCTAAATATATTATATATATTGGAAATAAAGTAGCATACTACTAGTGGTCTGAAGCTCTACTAGTTAGTGTGTATGCATGTTAATCACCATTAATCAAGCTCGACAAACACTTCAGAATATTTAAATGTATATCACAATGCCCTAAGATAAACCCGGGACCTGTCCATTCTTTCCTTTATAACAGCCACTAATGTCATAAAACAAAAATGGATCAGCCACATTCTGTCATGTTACGGACATTTTTAAATGTAGAAACCAAAAAAGGAATTCAAAATTGTATTAGGGGATGAGAATAGCAATAGATAATGAATAAACAAACAATATTGAGCCATGTATTCTTGCCAGTGAAATATCTGTGCAATTTATCTTTTTCTGTAGCTATAAATATCTTTTTCTGCAATGCATTTGACTCGAAAATTTCCCCAATAGTTTTATCACGTAATGAAACCTTCAGGGAACTTTTGATTGATTTAGTGAGATGATAAGCATGTGCAACAAGGATTCATAATCAGGGAACACTTGGAATGATAGTTACCATGAAAATACTTTTGGCTATAACCATTTCAGAATAGGGCATATCCACCAGACGTACTGAAAAAGAGTCTTATGGGCTAAAAATAATTTTTTGAAATAATAAATATAACTAAGATTTTGAGTTTGAACCATTGGCTCATCAAAAAAATATTGGCAGTGAAGTCAGCTAGCTGTATTGGTTATTTGAGGTAAAAAGAGAGATTGCCTATACTACCAACAGGCAAGGGAATTTCAGGAAACATGAGTATCAAACTGGGAAGTGTAGATATTTTGGATGGAACAAAGTACGATAAAGCCCAAAGATAACAAGACGTTGAGCATAATTTGTTAAATTTAAGAGTATCAAAATCACGTTAAGAATTCAAGAGAGGCAATTTAGGCAGAATATTGGTGAAGATTCATAATAAACCTATAGATCTTGGTTTCTCAATGTGGCATGCCTGTTAACTATGCTACATATATCTATGCTAACTATGGACATATTTCTGCACGGCACATTCACAGTTCATAAATGTCATCACATAGAGAAGGAATTGAGAGTTACATAGCCCAGAGATAGATTGATAGATAGATAGAGAGAGATGATAGAGAGCGAGATATGAGAATTAGCACATGTTGAATTTTTACATTTTTAGGTTTAAGTTTATACCACTCGTGCCTAGGAATTTCGATGATGTTTGGTTCCAGCTTAGTGAATGAGTATCTGAGAAGGGAAAGGTCTAGCAAGTCTGTAGAAGTGCAGAGAATGTGGATTAATATTCGGTTGCAACTAATGTAAATGGTTAGAATAGGAACTTAATTATGGGTTCAAGTTTTAGGTACTTGGGGTAGATTTAATTATGGGTTCAATTATAATCACTAGGAATATATGAGCAGAATAGTTGATAAATTTGATGTTGAAAGACATTAAATTTCAAAATTGTGGTGCTGTATGATGTCAGATTTTTTCAAGCTACTAGAATACACGTACTTGTGTTGTGCATCGAGCAACTCCATCCCATTTGTTATAAGTGCCTCTGCTGTTCTCAGTCCACTCTCCATAGTCCATTCTGAAACCCATATGCACAGCCGCGTAATGCAAGATTAATAATTTGCCGATAACATAAAAAAAAAATATCTCAATACAGCTTACCCAACAACAAAAAATGCATATCCATCCAAGTGGTAGCTTTGCACAGACGTGTCATTATTCTGGAAAATAATTTCAAAAAACCCTCTATATGTAGCATTGATTATAGATGTGTCCAGTTTCGGTGGTCTATCCATCATTTGGTTTGGGAAATCAAGCTTGAAAACTCCAGGAACATTGAACTGTTGGGCAAGCCTTAGAGGTGTTGTTGGTGCAATATATGACAACCCATTAAGAGCGGTCCGTGGCTTCCCATTTATCATCTCTGGAGCTCTATTAAGCAACACATACACATCTGTGACAGGAATCTGACCATACTTAAATGACCCCTGTGGATTAGGACGAGCGGCACCAGCAGAGACATTCCACCTGATCATCAAGTTAAAGTTCCACAGCTAAAGAACATGAAATTGATCAGAAAGGAAGTATGTGACAATCCAATCAAATAAGGAAAACCAAAGTCCAATGGGTCATCACTGCAAATAAATGATGGATGGTAATTTGGGGGGGGTGGGGGGACAGAGAGAGATATTGTGGCCATCTCCTGCTCTGGTGGGTCACTCACTCTCCCGGTCACCATCTTTCACTTCAATGGACAGTGGTTTTGCAATAGTCCATTAGATTATAACATACTCTCTCTGGATAAGAAAACAAACAATTCTCTCCACAACCATCCAACATTTCAATGGTTGGTGATAAATGATGACCCAATGGACTGACCATTCCATAGTCCATTTGATATGCTTTCCCTTCATTAAATCGAAAAGAAACATGTAAACAGAATACACACAATACATATAGATGTTTATATATGGATAAACACATAGAAATCTCCATACTTGATGGATCTTGCCTGGTTCATTGAGAAGTACTTGTCATATTCATCATTCGGAGGATCTGGAAGCGGACCTGACGCAGGACCCTGGGAATTGGAATAGTGTAAGATGGCAACACCAATTAATCCTGTCCATGATGCAGCTGGATTGAAAAGCCGAGGACTTGCAACAATATAGTAGTCACTACTAGCATTTTGATCCATAGTGACCAAGAATGAGTAGGACTGCCCAACATGGATATCCATATTTGTATAATTTTGTTGGATTGTGTAGGAACCTTCAGTTTCCACAAGGAGCAAATTATGATTCTGGATTCGGAAGTTTAGGCTAGTCCTCATGCCCACATTGTGAACTCGAATACGATATGTTTTACCTGATATTTACACAAAAATAATGCGACATCAATTTGCTAAAAAATAAATAAATAATTATACGAAATGGTAACTTAGTAATCAACAGAATTAAGTATTGGAAGAGGTATTTGCATCTTACCTGGTTCGACATCTATCTTTGCATAACTAATCCCGGCAGGAACAATAGTCTCATTGTAGCGATAGGGCCCCAATCCATTGAAGAGAATTCCATCAGGAATCCCAAGGTCATTGCCATCTTCAAGGGCCTTCCGCAAATCCTGTCATGCAGGTTGGTTGAAATGTTATTCTAAGAGGAAACTAGCTTACCTTATTTCATTGGAGATTAGAGAGCACTTAATATGACCTTATGGCTTCTGGTATACCAATCACTTATGAACAGTGTAATATCTCCATCTGGTGTCCCAAAAGGTACGGGAATAACTTCTCTATTGTTAACAATGATTCCACCGTAGCCACCAGCTGCTCTTTGGAAATGGATGGAAGGGAAATAAAAAAAGCTCCCAATTTGATCTTTAACTTGAAATTGATATGTCCAATTCCACCCAGATGGAATAGGGCAGTTTGTCCCTAAGACACCATCCTGCCAAGAGTTTCTTCTAACTTGTATTCCATTCCTAGCATCGTTAAGATACATAACTTAGGGGCTCTGAGGATATAGTTTCATTATGTAATACAATTATTCAGAGTAAATACAAAATACGTACCATGTAAGAAGTAAAGGCTCATCCAAATTGTTTTGGACATTTATTACAAGGTTCCAGTTTGTGGTTGCATTCACAGTAGGTCCTGGGAAGTTCCCATTAATACCAATAACCTACAATAGCAGCTGAAATCTGATTAACTGATGAACAAGACAGTCGCAAGTAGGAGAACAAGCATTATCAAGCAATACCATATTCATTGTGATTACCGCATTCACCCAACATGATCACAGCACAGATTAAGATACACACTTTGTGAGAAGTTACAATAAGCACTTTGTAGCAAATGGTTTTAAGTGTGACTAATGGTACAAACAAACTTACAAACAGATATAGCCATGTCCAGATGGCTTGGACAAACTATTTCAATAAGTTGTGTAAGCTATACTTTGCTGGTTCCTTTCTTGTTCTGTTTCTGACAGTCAAGGGATGTAACTTGGATATGTGTGCCCATGGTTGTTGGCATGTGTCGACGCGTATAGATCCAATATGCATGTCTAACACCTCAAAGACTCAGAAGCATCCGTGTACCCTTTTTTGCTAGGTAAGTCGCTAATCAAGTCAGTTACTCAAAATATCACCTTCTGCGCTCTTAATGAGCAATGACATATGGACTTGTTGCGTTTGAATGGCCATATTTAGGGTCTGTGTTTCTGATGTGGGTCTGTGCATTTTTAGCATACTTGTATTAAGGCCAGCCACCATATATTGATTCTTCTTCTCCTTATGTTTCCTAGGCAACTATGTTAACTAATAAATACTTTGTCAATTAATAAATATTCTTTCACAGAGATAAGTTGAAAAAGTCAAAAAGCAAGTCAACTTCGTAACCTACAACTATTCATTCTGTTATACTGATAAAAGAATTTTTTTTTTGTTAACTTAATTTCATTCCTAAAAAATTTTTATACTTCTCTATACAAATCGGGTTTGAAAATAGTTAGAACTGCTATATTAGTTATTATATTACAAAAGACGGTTTGGAGACCCCTTCCCCTGCCAAGAGATCCGCCAGCTACTCAGCTTTTCTTATATAGTAAAAATTTTTGCTTGATTCCCAAAATATTTGCCAAATGCTGTGGACATTCAGTCTCTTTGCAGCCTTGCATCTCCTTCTATTTGGACTTGCCTCCAGCTAGGATCTCAATAACCCGTGTAATAATGCTCTCGATTCTGCCCTTGTTAGAGACACACAACAACCAGTGCTCCAGAAAACCGCAATAATATTCATTGTCTGTGATCTATTGCTACTCCCCTACTCCAGCAGGGCCATAATTTCTCCCTTGAACTTGCACCAAACTTAAGTTTAATCACCCCCTCAAGATCTGTCTTAAAAAAACCAACAAGCTGGCCAGCCCTTTTTTTTTCTTTCTACTCTACCCCAAGCTATGTGCTGCAATTATGTTTGAATGTTCACTGTCAATAAACCCCAGAACTTTTTTTCTCAACCTTGGCCAAGATATAAAAGGATTTGGAATATAGAATTGTACACAAATTATTGAGAAGGATACAAAATTTAATAAACTCAAAGTCACAAACCTACGAGATAGGAAAAATGCAAAGAAAATGATATTTAGCAATCTATGTGCTATTCTAGATTGAAGACCAGAAAAGGACATCAGAAGCATTCCCCAGTGCTCAAAAAAGTCAGGCTCCGCCTTATGATTAAAAAGTTGAATTTGCCACTGGAAAATATTTAGAATATTTTCTCATTCAGTTGCAAATAAAAAAGGATACATACAACAAAAATGAAGAAAAAGAAAAAGAAAAAAATTAGGAAGAAGGGATTAAGACTGGATGAAATAGTTCCCCAGCAGTAGGATGAATAACCCCACTCCTTCCTCAACTAACCAATCAAAGATTTTGATGTTCTATGAGATAGAGCAGAAACAAACCCCAGCTGAGCAGTTGCAAGGGATGGTTTCTTCCATAAGGTCACCCAAACTCCAGGGCACATGGATTCCTGCCTCCCCACTTAATGACATTGCCAAAGAGTTAGCTACCCCACTGGCTTCCTGAATGTATTCAATGATCTATCTCTGAGCAATTGCCCATGGTCATGCATTATTCCCCAAATCCATCCTGTGCATGTTTCTTTAAGAAGATGCTCATAACCCACAAGGCGTCCTCTTCAGTTGCTCCATTCCTAAAAAGCATATGCCTTGGCAGAGCCTAATACCCTCAAACCAATGCTTTTCACAAACACGATGACAACTATGGCTGCTTCCATAACAGTTGCTTGAACATCTGTGACAATGCACCTGGCCTTGAACCCCTTGATTTCCACCTGCAACCCATCAAAGTTCATCTTCAATACACTAACTAAAAACTTCTCCTACTTTGGTTTCTTAAACTTCATCTTCCTCAGCACATAATGTCGCTTCATTGAAATCCTTGGGACAAACAAGCTCGTGCAAATTCACAAAACAACAAAATGTATCAGTCAATATTGCAGGGCAACTTTCTGCATTGATCTTAAGAAGACCACATCCTCTCACTTTAAATCTGCCAAATTTCACTGAAAGAAGCATTTTGTATTTCTCCAAATACTAGGATGAACTTCTACAAAAGCAGGAGGCACTTCTAATGTAGAGTAGTCATAGAAACTAAAATCCGTGCCCTTGAGTTTCTGGTAAAAGCTTTCAGAGAAGGCAGCATTTGTTTTTTCAATTGCATAGAAGAATCTGCGATGTTATATATGTTTAGTTCCAACATCAAGAAGCGAGATGAACCATAGCTGTACTCCCTAATCTTCAAACAGGGAAACCTGAAGAATGACAAGGACCAATGTCTTCCTTTTACTTTTCCCCAATTGGAAACCACTTTCTCCACCAGTTTCACCACTAAGCATTACCCTATCTTCTTATTGATTCTTCAGGCATTATCACAGATTAAAATACAGAGAAGGAAGCATAACTTCGATATGACACTCAACCCTCTCCAAGCAAATAGCACTTCATGAAAATTTTCAGCTTTGATTCTAGGATTTTCTAGTTCCAAGCCAGAGATAAAAGAAGCACACTGACAGAAAACAAATTTTCTAGTTCCAAGCCAGAGATAAAAGAAGCACAATGATAGAAAACAAAAAAAAAAAGAGATACCAAACAGAAATGCAAATGACAAAATCTACAGAACAAAGTAGACCCTCAAAAGGAACACTAAAGGTAAGAAAGAACAAAAAACCCACTTTCACTGAATAATTTTTCCCTTGCAAAGTACTCCCATATCATCAGAATACAGACTCGAAGAAAACGAAATCAGGGATTCATAAAGAGTAGAACACTAAAAGTAAGAAAGAACGAAAAACCCACTTCCACTGAATAATTTTCCCTTACAAAGTACTCCCAGATCATCAGATTACAGACTCGAAGAAAGCGAAATCATGGATTGATACAGAGTAGTGCAATTCTTGAGGAATTGTACAGTCTAATTGAGAATGCCAAATAGTCATGGAACAAATAGTAACATCTGCATAAATCTAAACAATTAAATACCTGTTGCTTCACTCCAAGGGGAGAGGCAGTGAGATAAGAGACTTCCCAGTTAAAGAAGGTAAAAGGGTCTCCACAGAGGCCAAGGCTCACGAGGAGGAGGAGGCAGAAGAGTACAGCGCAGAAGCGAAGGAAAAGCAGCATTCCTTTTTCTCTCTGTCCCTCTTCTCTTCTCTTTCTCTCTCTAAACGAAGAGGAAAGGCGAGCAGAGTTTGGGAGAGGAGCCTCTTCAGTGTTCGAGCAACTGCAAGGGAGATAGAGACTTGCCCGTAAGAGAGAGAAACAGTTTCGAATAGCGAGTAGACAGTGGGGTCCAAAGGCGCGTACATTTTCCAATTTAATTTAATTTTAAAAGGTCCAAATTCCACTTTCCCGTAAATGATTTTCAATGCTCTTGATTCTAGATTTTTTTTTATTTTAAAGGAGAAAATAATAGTGTTCTAAAAAGGAGAGCTCTTAAAAAGTACAACTAATGAGATGGTATTCTGCGAGGTAATTTATTTTTGGTACATAGATGTTTTGATACTGATGGATTAGATGTCAAATTGGATGATTGGGATGTATTATAAAGCTCGAGAATTCGTTTTTGAACTTGGAGTCTAGTTAATGATACACTTGGAGCCATAGGGTTTGAAATTTGATGGACAAAAGTATACCTGACCTCATTATATTAAAAGTAAAGGAAAAGTTTATAGAGCGCCTAGGCTCTAAACAATCAAATTAGAGCCTACATTAGTAGAAGAGGTTATTTTGAGGCCTAATTATCATCAAATTGATCATCTTTTCATCAAGATGCATGGACATGAGAAAAAAAATGGATTTCAAGTTTTGGATAGTGCATCTTGTAATACATGTTCGGACCGTGAAGATTTTTAAGTTTTCATAGATCTGATCGAACTACACTATATTTGAAGCTTAAATTTTATAACTAAAGATGAAAATATATTTTAAGGCTTTCATAAAAAATTTCAACAATAAAACCATATTTCTTGATATTATAAGAAGGCAGGCTTTAATTTGATTGTTTAGAGCCTTGACTCTATGAAAACCACACCTTAAAAGTAAATTGTCTCTTTATATACTTTCCCATAACAAATATGATTCAAATATTTTTCTTCAACTCCATTTTTTTTATTTTTTTCGGAGAGAAATTATTTTCCTCCGGTTTTTTTTTGGGTAAATTTCCTCAGGGTTCTATACACGAGACTATTTATCTTTGTTACAAGGAGGACATAGTTACTCTTAGGCATTAGATGTCAAATTAGATGGCTTGAAATGGTTCACAATTTTTTTTTATTTTGTTTTTTTGAATTTCAAGTCTAGTCTATGATACTCTTACAACTACTCGATTTGAAATCTTATGAACAAAAGTAATTGTGACCTCCTTGTATCAAAAGTATTTATGATCACTTTGTATACTTTTCCATTTTTCTCCCATATTGAACATTGAAACTTACCGAAAACTATGGAATAAACAAAATAGGGTGGCAACAGGTCTGGTTGAGACCCGAATCCAGACCCAACCAGACCCGGATAGTGTTTGGGTCCAAGATCTTGACCCAGACCTGACCCCACCCGTCGGGTCCAATTTTTAAACCCATACCCAAACCCGGATCGGGTCTACCCCTTGGATCCCAAGTCTAGTCCAGGTCCATTGCCATCCCTGAAGAGATGGCAAAGGGTTCAAATGCTTTGTGTTATGATAAAAGGAAATGGTTTAATAGGGTTGCAACCTTATCAAAATAAGTAAATCCTTATCTCATGCCTGATAGAAAGGCAACCTTATTAAAATAAGTAAAGCCTCATCTCATAACTTATCGAAAATTGCAATTCAAGGATTGCAAAACATTTACATCGATCATCCAGATTTGAACATTATGTTTATGAAAAAAAATTAAGATTTTAAGCTTTAAAATAGTGTATATTATAATAAATTATCTAGACCATCGCCCTATAAATAAGTATTTGCAGATCTGTGACATCTTTCAAATTTCAAATTTTATTATCAACGTCGAAAATTGCTTTTAGAGCCACCTTGGAGATTTTCGTTGCCAAAAGTGCTTTCCATACAAAGATTTGAGGTGAGGCTTTACTTTGTTTTCATAAATCCTAGGCCTTATAGAAACTTCATCAAGTCATTTAACATTGACACAAGGAGGTCACAATCACTCTTATCATTAAATGCGAAATTAGGGTGATAATGACTAGTTCAAATTTTACATTCAATAACTAAGTGATGAAGACTTTACGATATCAAATGTAAATGATTAAAAATATATATATAAGCTGCAACTTTATACAATAAAGGTAAGGTGGACCTTGAAAATCCAGTAGGAAAAGGTGTTTCGATGTTGAAAAACCGTCAAATCGATTGGCTCAATCGAGAGATCTATAGATATAAAAGGGAAAAAAAAATTAAGTCTTAAAAATAGTACATTTTGTAACAAGTTATTTGGAGCGTCTATGTTCAAGATTTTTTTATAGATTTGCTCGATTTGCACCGTTTCTTGAATTTAAAAATTCATAATTAAGATTGAACATGGATTTTCAAACAATCACAAAGTTTCTGACACTAGAACTACATCATTCAATAAAATGTAGAGTTGTGCATTACTTGTATTGTATAAGGTGGGCACATTATCCAAACCGTACAGCATATAATTACTAAAAAAAAAATATGCATTCAGCTCAATGTAAAAGGACATTACCATCTTTCCATGTGGACCAGTGTTTCAAAACCAGACTAGTGGGGCCGATCATTTACCCACAGATTCATGTCAAATAGCTAGATCGGCAATCTATATCAGATTTGAATCAATCACAATTAGCGTTCTAAAAAAATTAAAAATATAAAAAATAAAATAAAAATAAAAACAATGATTTATGGGGCAAGGATGTAAAAGGCACCTAAAAAACACTAGATAAACTTAAAAAAGGAAAAAATATAAGTGGGGGGTTTGGGGGGTGAATCGGGCCAAGACCAATACCATCTCGAGTCGGGTTGGTTCTGACCATAGTTAGCAAGTTGGGGAATAATAAAGTATCGGTAGACCAAAATATCGTTAATAAATCGGTTTTATTCCAAAAATTCAAACAAAAAAATCGAGTAAAAAATCCGGATCGCCAAAAAATAAGGTAAGTTATAATATCGTGAATCTTTCAGATTTGGTTCAAAAAAACAAAGTGAAAAAATTGGATATGTAAAGATGACACAATATAAGATTATAATTTGCAGGTATTACATAGATATATTAAAGCCATTAAACAATAATTTTATAGCCTTACTAGTGTCATTAGAGTAATACTTGACAAATTTTTGTGGAAACTTTTAATAAATCTAGCAACAATGCTTATTTTGTTGTCACAGTACAAAGCATATCACAAATTTATTAGGAGCATAAAAATTAAGCATCAACAACAATAATAAACACAATAACTAATTAGCAAATAACAAGGGTTGTGAAACCAACGTATAGGATTATTTTTTAAAAAAAAATGCCCTCAACATAGGATTGCAGTTAATTAAAAGAAAATACAAGACCCAAATATGTAAAATAGTGGTCCATCCAAAATGCTATGTTGTATAAACCAATGAAATAAAAAGCAAAAAATAAAGTATGAAACTAATCAAACTTCTCTATGCATAAAAAAAACAACAAAATGCTTAAGCAAATTCGAATCTCGTACTGAATTCCTTGCAACCTAAATTTTTTAGCATGATTGAATCTCTCTCTTGCCCTTTATAAGGATGTTATGGGTTTAAAGAAAAAAAAATTGAGTTACTCTTCTTCTAATTCTACCTATTATTTTAAAATATATGATTGTTTTGATTATTTTTTTGGGAGAATATATTGCTCAAATTTTTTCATATACTTTTTTTTTAAGGGAACTCATTGGTGAAATATTTTATGGAATTTTTGTTAAATCAATATTCTTAATTTACTCCCACTGTTAATATACTTATCTTTAAATCAAAAGTCAACAAAATTAAGTTAATGAAGAAATAAAATTATAGGGAAGAAATTCTTTAAAAAATTTTTTTTAAAAAAGATAAAATACGGATTTATATCAGTTTTATTAAAAAAACATGATTTTTTGAAGATCTTTTGAAAAACTTGGAGTTCTTAATGGATTTCAAAAAATTGGAGTTTTTATTTTTTAAAAAAACCTATTTTAAACAAAAACTTGCCGACCATGATTCTAACTAATTACCATCTATAAAAAAGGGATAAAAGTTTATATAAAATTGAGCCTCTAAACAATCAAATTAGAGCCCACCTCAAAAATCTTATTAGAAGAGGTTTCTTTTGATGCCCAATTATTTTCAAATTGATAGTCTCTACATCGAAATGCATGGACATGAGAAAAAATAGATTTCGAGTTTTGAAAATAGTGCATCTCATAACGCATTTTTGGACCATCAATTTTCAAGATTTTTATCGATCTGCTCGATCTACACTATTTTTTAAACTTTAAAATTTATAATTAAATTTGAAAATATACTTTAAAGCTATCACAAAAAATTTCATTATTGAAACCATATTTCTTTGCACTATTTGTTTTAGTATTGAAACCATATTTCTCTGCACTGTTTGAAGGTGTGTTTTACGTTTGATTGTTTAGACATTTCAAACATTGGTGTGAACCAGTGTTTAAAAAAATGCCGAGTCGAACCAGACTCGTCCGGTTCGACTCGGGAATCGCCATGAACGGATCGAATCGGCGAAAAAAACGGGAATCGTCCGGTTCTAGAGAGAACCGGATGATTCTGTACAGTGACTTGCCAATTCACTGTACGGAATCGGCGAGTCCCGTACGGTTAATTTTTTTTTTTTTTTTTTTTTTGCAATCCATGATAGATTTTTTTGTAATACTTCATTAGATTTTTTTGTAATCCATGATCGTAATTGTTTTTTTTTTTTGTAATCCATGATTCGAATTTTTTTTTTTTTTGT